AATAAAAACCCTCATTCCAGAGTTCTCTATAAATATGAGAGGAGGTGAACAGATTCAGAGACAACAAAAATCAATCAAGACAAAAACTCTCAAATTGCATTGACAAATTCGAAAGAACAAAGTCATTCAAATCTCAAAAGCATTCAAACTCTGAAGCAATCAAGCCATTTAGTTTGAAAATTCTTTCAAAGAAAAATAGCCAGAACTTGGTTCATTTCAATTCAAAGAAACAATTCACAAAAGAAACAAGACTTCCTTTGTCCCAAATTTGGCTCAGCACAGGCCAAATCAAACAGAATTTGGGTTTTTCACAATATGAAAACCTCAATAAATTTCCAAGGATGCTTCGAATGCTCAGAATCGCCAGAATAGCTCTTGGTTGATTCATAATCAAGCAAAGCAGACATTGTGGTGCAGCCCCAGATCAACAATTGTCAATCCAGCCATTTCTAGTCCAATCCAGATTGAAGAAATATCAATTCTGCCCATTAAGCAAGCCTCTCCATGGCCAGAACAGATTAAAGCTCTGCCAATCTCGACATTGGTATCGATTTACAGTTGAACCTCATCAGTTGAAAATAATGACGTGCAATTCTAGTATAGATATATCCAGTCCAGCCCCGTGTCACCAAAACAGGTAGAAGTCAAAGTCCAATGTTCTGTTCTTCCAAGACTTGGCAACTTTTATTTTGTTTTAATAGCGTGCAATAGGTAGTCTTTATTTCAAACAGTCTGATTTATCTTACAGCTTGTATTTTGTCCAGAACTACAAGTTCTTGTTACTGTGATAAATTGTGAAGTCCTCACTAGTCTGAGGCAAGAAAAGAACTTACTTGGGAGATATTCCTCACCCAAATTCACAATCACTTGTCTTTGAAGTTTGTAACTTGGGGCGCAAGTTATTTCATTATAAGTCTGTTAGGGCTTTCTTACAGCTAATAGTGGCATGCGCGCTCACAAAAGAAAGTTGACTTGTTGACCATAAATGTTTTCAAGTTAATGCGGAATTTTACCCTACCATCACAGGAACCAAATTGAAACGGGTGAACACAAACATTTCTCATAATTCATCTCCAATGCACACAAAGTCTTCTTTACCTCATACATAGAGGAAGGTATTGCATCCTATGTTTTGCTTTCAAATTATATAACTTGAATAATGTCGACAACTTGGTGTGCTTACAACAACCAGGGTACAACCGTACAAGGGTTGATCTTGATCCCAATTACATTGGCAAACTCATAAGGATCGGATCCAATATCTTGTAAATCATTATCCTCCATCTCTATTTCTTCTGAAACAAAATTGTACCTACTTTGAGCATAAACTTCCATATTTCTACTAGCATTAGTAGTTGATTGCCTAGGTTTACCATGCTATATATGTCCAAATCTTATAAGTTTGGTCAACTCTGTTAAAATATAAGTGGTCCTTTATAATTCCAACTCTAAACAGTCGAATATTCTCACACTTCACACATGGATAATGAATATGTTAAGGATTTCTAGAATTTGCAATATCAAACTAAAATCCTTTGACCCCTAACTCATATGTCTTCGATCTTCTATCGGGATGCATCCATGACTCATCCATCTTCCAAACATTTTCAAATAACAACCATGTTGTGAAAAAAAACTTAGTATACAATCCTATAATAAAGTGCAAAGAGAAGCATGTTATTTAAAAATAAAAAAACAAAAAAAAAACTTAGCATACAATCCTATAATAAAGTGCAAATACAAACATGTTATTAAAAAACTAACTTAGTAGCAAATGACCCACTAGTGTAGTAGTTTGGAGTAATTACTCCCTTAGGCAAGGTCCTGGGTTCGAGTCCTAGTATCTGTGTCGTGTGTGTGAGTTTAGAATACTATCACCCCTCAATAGATAAGTTCCTAAAAAAAAAACTAACTTAGCATGTTATTTAATAACTAACTAGCATGTTATTTAAAAAATAACTTAGCATTGCAACAAGCACAAATTTAGAGAGAGAGAGAGAGAGAGAGAGAGAGAGAGATGGTGACCTCGCATGCAATGATTGCAACGGAGGAGTCTCTCTTGAAGGTCTTCTTGGGGGGTGCGTGTGTCAGAGTTACTGTCCAACACATGACCCTCCTATGCCGGCAAGCTTTGTGACGACGGAAGAGCAAATTAAGAGAGATGAGTTAGGTTTACGAGTGTTTAAGAAATCTGAAAAGGAGAATGTTGAGGGAGATTCAGAGAGATAAGGAAGATTCAGAGAGTTGAGGAGAATTCTAAAAAGGAGGAAGAGAGATGTTTTTCGAGCCGTTGGGGGGAAATCTAAAATTTTAGGTCAAGGGTGATTTCACTTAAGCGGCAACTTTTGTTTAGCGTTTTTTAAAAGATGACGCTTGTTAAATGTCAACCCAACGCAAACTCGATTTTAGTAGTATTTAAGATGCTAACCCACGACGGTTAAAACCGTCGTCTTTTGAAACACAACGATGGCTTTTAAGAGCACCGTTGTCTTTTTTGTGTCCTCATTTAGCTATATTGTAGTAGTGTATTGTCACTTTCTTTCCTATAGCTCATCTTAATTTCTTCCATATGTTAATTATATTATATTTCTCTCAAACCTCACACCAAAAATACCTTGGGTTCAATAGGATTTTACAAGCTTGTTTTCCTTGTTGGGAAAATTTTAGAAATACTCTCTGTATTATCGTAAATAAAAACTAATAATTTCCCTTCTATCATTTTCATTCTTTCTTTGTTTGTCCTTCGTTGGGTGGATGTATTAAGAGGATTTTTTGATTTTTTGTCTAGTAAATATCCTTTTGCCCCTTTCTTTTTTAATGTTGTTTTGTTGTTGTTATATATTTGTAGCTTGTGGGGGTTAGTGCTTAATTCTACAGTTAAGTATTTAGGCTTTAGTTTTAAATAAAAATTGTTGAGTTGAGGATTTGGAGTACTTTAGGTTGGAATTGGTTGTTGCATATAAGCTTTTGATTTTATAGATAGGGAATACTTGCTAAGTGAGATGTTTGGCATGTAATTTAAATAAATGCGATCATGTTTGAACTCAACATAAAACCATCCTCTTGTGCCCTGAAGAGCTAGGGGAAATTTGAAACAACTTATAAGGAAGCAAGAGAGTAAGTAGCTGAAGATGAGCCAAGCTGATCAAGGGAACAACAACATTCCGGTGAAGCGCAAGCGTGGTCGTCCACGGAAACATCCTCAGCCAAATAACTCAGGGCACAATGCTGCAGGTATTGGCATTAATAGTCCTCCACTAACAGCCCCTCCCGGATTTGAAAGAAGGGTTGCGCTTTCATTGATGCAGAATTTGATGGAGGGTAAATGCTGACAGTCAGGGGTGACAACTTTCATACCACTTTAAGGGGTGTTTTGTACAAGCCTGGATCTTACCCTCATGTCTTAGCAGAGAATGGTGTGGGCCTTGGTGATCCAATGATAAGAAGAAATGAAGTTCCAGATGTTCATGGTTCATCAACTTGTGCTCCATCAGCTCCTCCTCCTCCTCCATCAAATGGATCAACGGTTGAAACCCAAGGCAGAGAAAATAATGAAGTTGCTACTTGGGTTAATCAACCCTCCACAGAGGCGCTGCTTCAGGCAGAAGCCAGATCCATGATACTGCCTGAGATGCCTTTTGAAGAATTGGTTACTGAGGTAGTCAAGAGAATTCATGATCCTTGTTCATAAGGCCCCATTATCATCAGCTTATGTGGTAGTATCAAACAATTCTATGTAGAAGAGGGTTGTATAGCTTTATTATATTTTTAGCTAACTTGTTGGAGAGAGAGAGAGAGAGAGAGAGAGAGAGAGAGAAGCTTATGGTTGTTTTCTTAAACTAGGAACCGAGGAAGATGTGTTTTACCCATTTATAGTTTATTTGATCGTCACAACTTGTTGGATATGTCTCATCTCATATATTTTAATTACGGTCTTTTGAAGGTGTATCAACTAATGAACAAAACTTAAGGTGTGCCTCCAAGTACACTCTTCGGTCATGATGAAACAATTAAATTTTGACACATGTGATGTTGTCATTGGATCCCTTTGTATTTGCATTAACTTTTTTCAGTTTGTATTGACCCTTAGGAATATTGTATTTGTATCTGGCCTTATGGTTTACCATCTTTATGTGTGAATTATGAATGCGATCTTTCGACTTTGGCAAAACAATTATAAAAAGAAAAAAAGAAAAAAAGAACAGTCTCTCGGATGTGTCAGTGAGAGTATGAGACAAATGAAGGCGAGTTTCCTTTTTTTTTTTTTTTCTTCTTCTTTTATTGTTTTAACCTTTTAAAACCATCTCAGGTGTGCCAAAGCGCCTAGGAGAGAAATGAAGTTGAGTATTTTTTTTTTCTTATTGTGGTGAAAATAACAGTTTCTCCTTTTACTTTTAGTTTTAACTTTTTAAATTTAAAATTTTGAGTTTTTTTTTATTTAAATAAAAATTTTGTAGCCTTCTATTCGACATATTACATGGTAGAGTACATACATAGTAAAATACGAACGGGAAAAATACGAATAAAATACATACGTGTTTTATTCGACAAAATTTGTGAAAAATACAAATAAAAAGTTCAACCACTATAATCTATATAATATTTTAATATAATTTATTTACAATTTGTAATATATATTATTTTTATTCAATAACATATGAAAAATATGTGAATTTTATATGTATTGTTGAAATTTTTGTAAAAAAACATGTGTATTATACGTGATGAATACATATATACATGTATAATACATGTATTGTATGTTTAATTATAAAAAAAAATGTGTATTTTACCAAGTCTTTCAGAGACATAAAAATAAAAGCATCTCCACGGCTTAATGGAAAACTTCCAGGCAATCAGTTGGAACATATAAACATCAGAGGATATAACATTTTAAAATCACGAATCATGTATCGAAAAAACAATCAATCGAATGAATGCATCTCTTGTTCAAATACTTTACATGTTACTCTATTGACAAAATTATTCAAGGAAAAGCATGAAACCCACTCCCTTTTTGTAGAAGACAAGATCCCTACATATTTATAAAAAAAAACAATGAAAGCTACACGCCCTTTAACCAGGTTTGACAGAAACCCTTGTGCAAAAGTTGTCCGACTTTTATGTATAGAAAAAACAGTGTGTGAATACAGGTTGACTGGACTCTTGTCCAACAAAAGAATTTAAGGCCAAAATTTTCTAGAATTATAATATATAAGGATGGGGAAAAGAACCCCTAGCTGAGGTGACTAGTGAAAGAAACCGATATTCACCAAAACTTGGGATCGACAAGATCATTAGATCCTGGGACTTAAATGAGACAATTAGAAGGGAAGGGAGGTTGCAAAAAGGGGATGTGTCTTGGCAATGGGGAAAGGCTGCTGTCCAGTAGTCATGAACGGCGGAGGCACACACAGCTGAAAAGCTTGGGCTGCTGCAGGTCCTGCATTAAATAAGGAAAAGAAAGCAAAAATTACCCAAAGAGATATTCAAAATGTGGAAGAAATTCAGACCTGCTGTCATTTGAAATTTAAATGGTGAAAGTTACATTAGTATCCATGAACATGACACGAAAAGAATTCGTGAAAAAAGCTATAATTTTGTTCCTCAGGGTTTCCCTTTCCAAATAATTCACATTCAAGATTTGTTTTAACAAAGAAAAAAAAATTTGGAGCAGAAACAGAAAATACCCCGCAAAATAATACAGATGCTCATTAACTTTTCCATTTTCATTGTCAAATGAAGATTCATTGGGAACATAATAACTTAGCCCATACCTTGGTGCTTCGGAAACTGGACCTGATGTGGAGTCAACACAGGACGAGCAGGCAGTGGTGACATAGCCGTTGCACCCTGAACCAAATCCTTCAATATAAGATGAAGGGAGATCAATAAATTTGAAATAAATGATACAAAAATCATTACCACCATAAGTCTTCTTACTATTTACTTTTATTGTTATCACATTTCGAAGGAATATTGTTATCATTTTTGTTGTTGTTACTGTTACTACAATTCTCATTATTTGTACTTGGCGATAAAAAATATTCTTTTTTATGTCAAAAATAATCTGACAGGGCTCATGGCACATAGACAGAAATCAGAATAACTCGAGTAGAATGTATCAACAGGTGCGTCCTGTTACACCCCACAAGTGGACTAAAAATGAATATTTCTTGACCACTGAAATATTGGCATACCCTGTAGAGCATCAACTTCAGTATATACTGTAATACTATTTTTAGCCAAATACAACTCAGTGCAAATCTCAAAAAGCATCCAGGTACCACTTCAAACTTAACTAATTAGAAATCATATCATAAGACAGCTTCAATCATAGGACCACGAAGTATCTTACTTGAGAAACTGGATGCATGTATACAACCTGCCCAAACCGTCCAACCATAACCTAGACAAAGAGGAGGGGGTTTAGTAAATCAGCAAAATAGAGTAAAAGATTTATCCTGATCCTAAACCACTGAAAATAAGTTGAAATAAAGATGGCATTAATTTCGTTCAATTACTTACAGCTTGAGAATTTGGATGCACATAGGTAGGTCCAGCCTGAACAGGATACCTAAGCGTCTGCACCCTGCTTCCCACGTGTCCAACAATCTATATCCAGAAAGGGCAACCAAAGATGAATCCTAAAGTTCCACAACACCTCTCTCTTATATATTGTGTATTATATACAATGTAAAGCATTATAACAAGGCACGTACCATGCTCTAATCCTGTGTTATTTTAACCATTGGATTTTCATCCTAGGACTTAAGATCATGATACGTATCTCATTGAGATACTAAATGTTATCAGTCTAAACACTCCTATATGTAATCTTCATTTCCTACTCACCGGTTAACGCAAAAATCAATGTTGACCAACCATTGGACAAAAAAACAACGTAATATTCAAATCCCAACAAAGCATTTTATATCTTAAACAAATGTTAGCTATTGGATTTTGACCTAGTGATTAGTGATAAGAGATTTTTGTGTTCACTAGTGAGTAGAAAAGATCATGACTACACACACGCACACAATTTTTATCTCAAACTCATTAATAAGCACAAAATCTATGTTCACCAGTGAGTAAGAAATAATCACTGTGGGTGTGTGTGTGCGTGTTTGTGCATATGTACATTGTATAAGCACATGAGCAGACAAGCACTGGTAAGGAGCTAAATTAAATAGTCAATCTTGGGCCGTAAGATCACTTTCCAAGGCTAAGGTTAAAACACTTGTAATTCAAGTTGTCTGAATGCTTTAATCTTGAATCTAATGGTCCAGGATTGACTACTTACTTTATCTCCTTATTTTAGTTACTAAAGAATATTTACATAATCAACTCTACAAGTGTTTATAACGCTAACTCTGCTACACTAACGCTGCTAGTAGGTATAAGCAGAGCTTTCACTAAAAGTCAAATTTCATATAATAACATCAACATGAATTCTGTATTCTATGATACATTCATATAGTCATCAATCCCCTATTCACAAACTACCGGAACAAAATCTAACCGCTGATATTCAAATCAAGGAGAAGTTATTGGTATGAAATTTCTTGTCCACCAGTGAGTAGGCTGAAGTGCACACACCCCCATTATATACACACACCCCCATTATACACACACACACACACACACACACACATATATATATATACACATATATAGTTGTTGTATAATACGGTTAACTGCACTTGCGAATAACCAATTTTGTGTCTGGCCAGTCACCGCTCACAAAACTGGTTATCCGCAACTGCAGTTAATCATATCATACAAAGACTGTACTATATACATAGATTGTATCATATAATAACCCGCATATGAATTTAGAAATGCCTACGGTACATACAGGTTGTGAAAATTGAGAACCACTGCCACCATGTCCATTGGTGAAATTATTGTACGGGACCACCTTAATAGGCACAGATGAACGAGTTGGGAAAGGATTTGATCCGACTTCCGGCTGAGCAGCAGGAACAGCTACCACGGGGGAGTTGTTTGGTATATAACCCATGCTCGCCACTGTTGGCACCGAAGGAGGGGTTGATGTTATGGGCTTTGTAAAAGATGGAGAGAATGTTTTTGCTCCTGGGTTGAGCTTAAATTCCTAAAAAGGAATACCAAAGAAAAAGGTTATCAACTTGACTATGTCATTAGGAAACACATCATCAACTTTAAAAAATTTATTAACGCCACCTCATAATATAAGTAGTTGCACTTGGGATCACCAAGCATTAAGTTTCCTTAGTATTAGGCCACTAAACCCATAATCTATTAGAACCCAATTACCAGCAGATTTCAACATAAGGTTCTTAGTGAACCAAGTGATGCATAAATTAGATAGCATTAAGGTGACCAACCAATTCTAAGACAAGAATATACTAACCAATATAAATAAATTAATCATTCAGGTTGAATTTAACATGGTTCGTCCAATTATAGTGTTACCTTGGCACTTCTATTAAATTCTGGACCCTGAGGAGGGACCATTTCAGTTGATGTTGCCTCCACACGTCGACAAGAAGCATCTGCAGCTGGATTAAATGAAGTTGAGACACCTGAAGAAAAAACATCAGAAGAAATGTCTGCTGAAGTTGTCCTTTCACAGCATTGATTGTCTGAATTAACAATTACAGTAACAGGATCACAAGATACTCCGGAAGGCAATCGCTTTGATGTCATCTTTTTATCATTAACTTTATCAGCCTGCAGAAAGCATTTTGCAATGATAAATACAACATATATTACAATGTGACAGAACAATCTTGGCAGCAATTATCATTATATACACTTTCTTCCCTATTAAACTCTAATTTATGTTTGAAATCATTAGGGGTTGATGTTATGCACCTCTTATCAAAGTGGCTTTTCTGCATATATCCTGAGTGCTAAAGTTGGCCATGTTTTTGTTCTGTTCAATAGAATTGTTCCTTGTTTTCTAAAAATGAAAAACAACCTCTTAAATTCCAAAAGAGATGTGGTCGAGTAAATATATGATGCCAAGTACAAACTAAGGTATAAAGTAGACAGATAGAACCATGCATATAGAAAAATTTACCTCAGATAAATTCATCCCTTCACCTTTCCCATGTTCAACTTCCATGGTATCCCCACCATGTTTCAGTGGCAAATTCCTCCCTTCATGTTCCTTTCCAGCTCCTGTGGAGGTGACGCCATGAGCAAGTCCATTGCCATTTTGCATTGGGCCCCTGCTAATATAACTAAAGTATGACTACATACTATACATAAAATCGAATTGAACAGCAATAATTGAGCAACAGATTATACAAGGGTATCCTTTCCCGTACGAAAAACAGGCAGTGGCCATCTGCCAGTATAATCAGTTTCTATGATGAACAACAACTGAAATCTGAAAACTTCTTTTATTCTCGAGACTTTGCAGATAACAATCCATACAAGTCCAACACTGAGACAATACCTGACACCATTCATTTTCTTCTTATTTATGGCAGACTCAATTAGTCCATAAAACAATCCATACAAGTCCAACACTGAAAAAATACCTGACACCGTTCAATTTCTTCTTATTTATGGCAGACTCAATTGGCTTCTTCGCATCATTCTTTATACATACATCAGAAGGAACAGTACCCGTAACAGCTTCAGTTTCGTCACCAGCCATATTTCCAGCAACATCAGCCGCTGGAAGCAAAACTCCCTGAATGATGCATAAAGAGCCACATTTACCTACTGCAGATTGCTTAAGTTGTTTTCAAAAAATATAAGAGGAATGACATGAACTACATACCTTAGCAACAACTTGAACAAGGTCAACTGAGAGAATTACTAGAGTGTCAATCAATGTCCCATTTCCTACATTAGCATCACTCTTTCCCTTTTTAGTCATCCTTGCTTTCTTCAGAACAATACCTAAACAACACAAACACCAACTGAATGAATCTCAATCAGAAGTCTGTGTGTGAGTGAGTGACAGAGAGAGAGCCCATTCTAAAGTTTAAAACACGCGTCCTGTGTCGATTGCTAATTACACTTCAGGATAATTGAATAAAAGCACATGCACACACAAAAGTAGTGGTTAAAGATCCAGTTTTCTCAAATCCAATATATCTCAATGCCTTAGTTCTAGTGTACATTCTCTTATGGTTCACCCTTTCTCGGTGAAAATGAAATCAGAAACACTCATAAGAAAATCCACAAAAATAAACTGAAAACCCAACAAAACAGTAAAAGCCAGATCAAATACTTCCCATCCATCCCAATCTATAGGATCACCATTACCAGTCAAGCAAAATGTGGACCCAGATACAAATCCCTCAAAATAATAAAACCCAGATACAATACCGCATAATATTAAAAGCCCAGAAAGAGTTCTGAGAAATTCGCCATTTTCAAAAACACATTGAAACAACAACAAAGCTCAAGAGAACCCACCGTATTCGTTCTCCACAGAGGCGGTGTAGAATATTCCAGAATAGACAGACCCGTCCTTGACGTGAACATCGACTGGGAGACCAATGATGCACATGGTGGCAAAGAGCAAGGCCTCACTCAATGAAGAAGAAGAGACAGTCTCGTCGTCTGTGAACTCTCTGTTTCTGCAACCCATGTTTCTTTTTCTCTGCTTTTTCTGATCCAGCCCAATTTCTCTGACTACAAGTTTCAGTACTTCTGTGCGTGTGTCTACGATTTTGGAGGGTTAATATAGAAGGGGAAGAGATCTGATGAAGCTGCGCAAGGGAATTCGAAAAGGAAAATCACTTTCTTTTCTTGTGCGGCAATGCGTCTCTGTTTTGTTATACATCCTAAACATTGAACAAGTCCCCTTTTTTGTTTGTTTCTTTTTACTTTTTCCATACGATACATACATGTGTTTTTATTTTCTCTTCTTTTTTTTTCTTTTTTTATACTAATTCCTTCATTTATTACAAACCCTACATGAAATCAGAACGAGAAGCAATCGGAATAAAAGGAGTCGAAGTCAAAATGAAGAATGAGTTGAAATCATACATTTCTATTCTTTCATTCTTATTTCAGGTAATTAAACATGTCATTGATGTATCTATGTTTATTTTTTTCTCAATAATTGAGAATATACGAATTTCTAATTTCATTACTTATTTGAATTCAATATAAATTAACTTCTTAGCACGGGCTCATATGCATACAAATTGACTTTTTTAAAATATAAAAAAAATTCTATTGTAATGAAATCTTTTTCTAGATTATACCCATCAAGATACACTTTTACTACTATTCTTTTTCAAATTGCAAATGTCATCAAACGGTTTTACATCATGATTGCTATCAAAGATAACAAATTCTGTAAGTATGTGTCTACGTCTTTCCATCAAACTCACTATTTAAGTATATTTTTTTTACATATATTTGGTTTATTTCCAAATTGTAAATGGTTGCGATTACTAGTAGCACCCACAAAAGTAATTGGTGACTAGTGAGTAAGTATCGAGGGAGTCAAACAATTATTTTTTATGGTACCATTTTGCTACTAAACCAGCCTTATACTTGTCTATAGTACAATATGATTTCAATTTCTTTTTTAAAATCCATTTATAACTAATAGATTTGTTACTTGGAGGTACGTCAACCAATTTTCATGTGCTATTCTACAAAGTGGATTCAATCTCACTTTGTATTGCTTCCTTCCAATAAGGAGCTTCTAGTGAAGAAATCATGTCTAACCTTCTTGGGGTTTTTCATCCTTTTCCTCTCCTTGGTTCCAAGTCTTGTTCTTGGGAACTAGAAGATGCATCACGATCAACATGATTTCCATCATGTGTAGCATTCATATGCTTCTCTCTCTCTCTCTCTCTCTCTCTCTCTCCTCACTCTCTTCTCCCTCGCGCAAACTCTCTCTCTCTCTCTCTCTCTCTCTCTCTCTCTATATAGGGGATCTATCTTTACCTTGTACGAAAAAAAAAATATTAACAAAAATTCAAGATGAACATATTTCATAACTGGTGGCAACTAAACACGATGGTCGCACACGTTCCAAATTTATACATATGCAATCCACGGTTTTAGGTCCAAGCTTTTTTCTTATGGAAAGAGGAACCTAAACTTTTGCAAGGTAACCTCACACTTGGAGTGTCCTATATGTGGGTAATCAATGTCTCTACACTGTAGAATTGTACTTAATAATTACCCTTGTTTTGTAGAAATTTACTCCACGTGACATTTGTAATGAGTTAAGCTTCACCCCACATGTGAGAGCCCTAAACTATTTAATATGGAAATGATCATGTTTTTACTACCCCATTTTATCGAGGAGTATTAGATGAGGTACAATTCCATGTAAAGAACAAAGTTTTGAAAATTATAAATACGACTTAAAACATATTAAGGGCTTCATTTTTGAAAATTAAAAGTCACTTTTGGTCTCTATAGTTTGACACTTCAACCACTTTAAACCTTGTAGTTTCAATTCCGTTAATTTTGTCATTGTAGTTTCATTTTTGTAGCAATTGTAGGACAATCCTATTTTCTGTCAAATTATTATTAACTTATGTTATCTATTCAGGGGTATTTTGGTCCTAGCCAGCCACCACAGCCTCCCAAGGCTGCCCCAACTCCAGCACATATTACAGATGCATCCAATGAGGAAGAAGTAGGAAATGGAGAAGAAGAAATAGAGGAAGCGATGTTGTTGAGATGCAGAAACATGGATTAGAGAAGTAGATGCAGTTTCGTCAAGCTTTATTGCGTTTTGGCCCTTTCTTCCTTTTACCCAAAGAAACACTTCCTCGAAGCATCATTACAGATTTCTCTCTCACCACTAATACTTGGTGTTACTTTTCATGCATGATTCAGCATTGCCTATTCAGATGAACAAGCAATTTGTAGATCTATTGGGTGCATATATGAAACTTGTACATTATTAACTCCCTTGATCAATGTTTTTGGATGACAACATTCTGTCTTCATCTTATAGGCAAACATGCTAGCTTGAATGTGAATCATTTTCTGGCTGTATCAGACGCCCAAATTTCAAACCATTTTTTGTTTTCTTTTTTCTTAGTTTGATTTCATCTTTTAGCTTCCACCCACCTTCCCAAAGTTCAAAACCATTTTCCTTTTTCTTTTTCTAGCTTCTCTGCTTGCTTGCTTCTGCCTTGTGCCTTTGTTGCGTTGGGGCCGCCTTGGGAGGCTGTGGTGGCGGTCATTTAAGGGTGTGGTGGCTAGCTGGGGTTGGGTTGGGTTGGGGGACTGTTGAGTGTTGGCTGGTTGGGGAGGGGATGCAAGTTTGGACCAAAATACTCCTTAATAGATAACAGAAGTTAGAATAATTTGATAGAAATTAGAATTGTCCTTAAATTGCTATAATTATGAAACTACAATGGCAAAATTGACGGAATTGAAACTACAGAGTCAAAAGTGGTTGAAGTATCAAACTACAGATACCAAAAGTGACTTTTGGCCTGGCCATATACATAACAATTCTTACTGCAGCTAGCTTTTCCTCCACATGTTGGTGTGGATTAAATCCAAGAAATTATTGGATTTCTTAACATTTTAAAAAAATTGCCTTGAAAACTTAAGGCCCGTTCGGTATCCTACTAAAAAAAATGAAATAAAAAATCATAATTTTTTTATTTATTTAAAACATGAGTTTTTAAATACTAATTTTAAGATCTAAACAAGTGGCAATTAGGATCATAATTCAGGAGATAAAACAGTTGAAAATCCTAAGTTTAAAGGTATCCTTTCCCAACAAGCATTCTCCCTTTGGTAAGAGCACAAACTTACTATCAGTCTCCAAATCAAATCACCAACCAACATAATGGATAGCTTGTAGCTCATCGGGTTTTACCCTTCATATTCAGCGTCCTAATATTAATGTTAAATAAACCCAGCTGCCTAAGGCCTAGTTTGGGATTGCTGTCACTTTTAAAAAAAGTTGCTTCTACTGTGCTTTGAAAATAATTAGCTGTAAAGTAAATCGACTCCATGTTTGGTAAACAATATTTTTAAGTGCTGTTAGTACAAAAAACAATGTAAAAAACGTTTGGTAAATTTTAATATAAAATTGTTGTAACTGTGAATAATGACTAAAATAGACATGATGTTAAAAGTGTTATGTACTAATCATGTGGTGGTAGTTGTAGTTATGGAGTGGAGGTGGTGGTGGTGATGAAGGTGGAGTTGGTGGTGGTGGGGATGGCGGTTGTGGAGGTGGTGGTGGTGGTAGCAGTGGCAGCATGGTGGTGGTGTTGGTTGCGGAGGTGGTGGTGGATTTGGAGGTTTTGGAGGAGGTGGTGGTTGTGGAGGTGGAGGTGAAGGAGGAGGTGGTGGAGGAGGTGGATGGTGGTGGTGGCGGAGGATGTGGTGGTGGTGATGGTGGTTATGGGGGTGGAGGTGGAGGTGAAGGAGGAGCTGGTGGAGGAGGTGGAGGAGCTGGTGGTGGTTATGGAGGTGGAGGTGGAGGTGGTGGTTGTGGTGGTGGTGGTGGAGGATGATGAGGAGGAGGATGTGGTGGTGGTGGTGGTGGTGGCAGTGGTTGTGGAGGTAGTGAATGTGGTGGTGCAAGTGGTGGAGTTGGATGTGGAAGTGAAGGTGATGTCATTTTTTAAAATGAATGATGGTATTTTGGGAATTAAAAAAATTCATTAAATGTTCATCTCTGCTTCTTTTGAAAGCAGCTTTGAAAAGCAACCCAGAGTTTGCTTTTAAAAGCTGATGTCAAAAGGCCATTGCTTTTAAAATAATCAGGATATTTTCTTTTTACCAAACACCTTAAACTGCTTAACTTTATGACATGTTTACTAATCCGGAATTGGAATTCTCATCAGGAATTGAATTCCACTTTTGAGGATTCCTGCGTTTACTTCACATAATGGAATTGAAAAGTAAGTGGGACCCACGCAAAATTAGGAATTGAATTCTGAATTTTGGAGGAATTCAATTCCGGAATTGGAGGTGGTATTCTAATCCCTGGAGAATTCACCCCTTAGGAATTCATCTTTTTTACCCATTATATCCTCACACAATTTTCAAATTTCCAAATATGCCATCTACTTTAAACAAAAAATGTGGACATTTTAGTAATTAGTACCACTCCTACCCCAATTCCATATGATTTAGTAAACAACTTTAATAGGAATTCGGAATCTAACTCCCCTCAATCCATATGGTTTAGTAAATAACTTCATTAGGAATCCGAAATCTAATTCTCCTCAATCCAACTCCTCCTCAATTCAATTCATCCTCAATTCAATCCCCCATAATTCAATTCCGGATTAGTAAACATGCCATTAAAGTAAAGCATGTTTTTGGTTAAAAAAAACAATCCCAAACGGGGCCTAATACAACCCAATTTAAGTGATTTAATTGATCTATGTACCGAAAATTAATCATATCACATTGTTTTACTTCAAAACGGAAATCCAGATTTGAGAATATGCACTCTTTTGACTAAGGAAAGCAATCCCATGTCGAAACCCCAACGCTGAATTCTTACACGCCAAAAATACACGGGGGTACAAAAACAACTAACAAACAAGCTTAAAAGAACGAAATGATGGAGCATACAACACGAATAACTGCTTAACATATTAAACTGCAAATGACATATTTAAAGTGCACTGTCTCCCGAATCTCACTCGAGGCAATGAAAGGATGGGGAAGGAGGGAAAAAGAAAGCATGAAGAAAATGACAAAGACAATGTTAAAAGTTGATACTCGACTGCACAACATCATACAACAGTCATACTAAAACCGCAACCTAAGATGCACCGGAACATGATGATACCCAGCTTTCAGGCTCCAAGGCAGGCAGCTACAAATCACTGCAACCATAGAAACAAACTCATGTCATGAACAATCCTAATCCCACATCATATAACACACTAGCAAGAACCTCCAATTCTAAATCTCTACAGGGCAAGGAAGCTGAAACTAGTGATAGTTACCTGCTGTTGCTGTTGGTAAGCACCAGGCTGCTGGTAATTTCCATATCCAGCATAGCCTCCATAATACAGGTTAGGGTCTTGGGCAGGAGGAGCATATGTATACGCATCATATCCTTGTGGATATCCATAAAATCCACCACCACCGCCGTTCCACTGTGCCTGATCTGGTTGGTTCTGAATCAATCAAACCAGTAAAAATTATGGTTAGCATGCATACCAGCAAAAAGTCAAAAAATTATAAGGTCACCAATAAAAACCTGTTTGCTTGTAGGACTGCGGCCCCATGAAAGTCTAATACTTTGTCCTCCTAATTGGGTTCCATTCAACGTTCCCAATGCTTGCTCTGCACAAGATCTGAAGATACATGCAGACAACATAAGCACATACGAGGATTATTTTCTAAGGAGGAAACAAAAGGAAACTTTTATCTAGACTAAGGTGTAGAACTGTTACCTATTAGCAAATTGAACAAAACCACAACGCTTGCCTACTGGTATCTTCACATGAACTAGCTCACCAAACTGGCTGAAGACTTGTCTCAACATGTCATCATTGACAGAGGGATCCAAACCCCCAACAAATATCTGCACTCAAATGTGTCAGGGGTTACTATAATGTAGAAAGAAATGTACAATGCAACATTAGGACAAACTACCCACTGTTGTATTATTTGGATCAGCCTCGCCTGGATTTCCTTGAGTACTTGGGTAGGAGGCTGCAAATAAAAAACACATAAGCACTAGTATATGCGATGTTAGGAATCTTAGGAATAGTATCACAGACAAAATTTTCTGCAGAATGATCTGTATCATCTGGTTAAGCATTGAAGAACTCAGGCACCAATCTTCACCGTGTTATTGTGGTTCTCAAACTTATATTCCCAAAACCACAATCAATTTATCAAAGTAACACATCACTTGGAATTTTGCACGAAATATGACTTCCTTGCAACTTACCCATACATTAAGGATTTCAGATGCACGCATCTCTATTAAGGCTATGCACTTTTTAATTTTTTTTTTATATCTCCTCCAACTTCATACTGGCAATGTGGCATGGAGGATTTCACTGAACAGCTATGATAGCATATAACATGATGTGCCACCAACCAACAATAACAAGTGCATTGCCTATACAATTATCTGAAGAGGGGTTTTTTTTTTAAATAAAATTTTTAACAAGAAACTATGGCCATAACAATTATCAAGAGGACAAAGTACAATCAGATTTGGTTGGATAAAGCAGAAATAAAAACCCTACTAAAGGCACCCTCTGTTGTAACTGTAGATTTTCTTTCATGGGTTAAAAAACCGGCATAACTGTAGCTTTTTCTAGGCTTGAAAATGTTCCATACCCTTCTATGGACATGTGCAATAAAGACTCATTTTGGGGTTCACACTAAATATTGACATCTGCTATAAAACTTATTTTGGGTTTGAAAGGAAGATCTTTTACCTAAAAAGCTGCAACATATGACTCCTAAACCTACACTCCAACCTTCAAATCAAATTATATTTCCATGCATAAAAAGGTATCATAATAGAACAGAACATCTAACAGCTAATGGGACCAGACATGCATTTGAGTCTATTACACATAAAACTATGAAAAATACAGGAAATGTAATAAAATAGAGAACTAAACAAAAGAAGGAACCATAAAAAGTAGTGAGTTTACAACCAAAGTACAACTTAAAATGGAACATACTTCAATCATAATAAGATAGATAACCAGAAACAAAAAGATGTAGACAGCTCAATTTCTATACACGAAATTAAATAGGTCACTCAAAAAATTTACAAGCAATAAAACAGATCAAGTACACTCAATTGGATAGGAGTCTAGATGAAGAACTATTTCCAAATCCTGGCCCAGTACAATATTGGGATGGTCATTTTATGACAAATTACTAAGTGTTACTTCTACCTTAAAACAAAAATAAGAGTGGCACCACAAGGTGCAACACAAGAAAATGTCTTCAGAGATTTAAAGGTATTTTGGATTAAAATGTGAACTACTGCATGGGCTACAACTTATAGTTAGCATTTAATGTAGATTTATATTCTGACTTAAGATGAAGGCTGAAACGTGAAACCACAGAGAGACATGGGCCACAAATTTGGGAACAAATTCTATCCTATCAAACATAGAGAACATTGTGGAACCGATCCACAAAGAAAAAAACACAATGCTTCTTCAAAATAAGCGAAGTATTAAAAGAAGGATATATAAACTTCGGAAATTGGAGTAAATGTAAACCTGACTGGTAAATGGAATACATGTAAACTCGACTGGAAAATGGAATAAAGTAAACCAGACTGGTAAATGGAATAAATGTAAAGCTGATTGGTAAATGGAATAAATGTAAAGCTGACTGGTAAATGGAATAAATGTAAAGCTGACTGGAAAGGTAATTCTTGAGTAGCATAGCAAATGCCACGAGAAAAGAAGAAGCTTATGACATAAACAAAATAACTGACCTAAAATGAGGCCACGCATTAATGTGGAATCATTTCAGCTGAAATCAGTTCCAGGCCCCCCAAAATGAGAGCCTCTCGGTGTCCTGCTTTGAGACAACATGAGTTCTACATAAGTCTTTGCATGTTTTAACATAATTAAATGCGCCCAAGTTTACAAAGGAAAGTACTCGAAGGAAATGACTAAGTTCCGCCAATCTTCAACTGAATAACTGAAACGGTGCCAAATTTAGAACACTTCTGACAATTTCACCTCGAAAGTATAAACTAAAAGCCCTACTGCAACTTACCAAACCATGATTAACATAAAGCCCAAAATATTCAAAATGTAAAGTAGCAGAACAAACATATAGGAAAAAAGCTAACTACAACCAAGCTGCAAATACAGGTTCAGAAGTTTTGTACAGTTATTACCACAAAGCATGTGCAATATCTAAAACATACCTTTCTGGTATTGCTGTCCACCACTAGCTGGTTTCTTAGTAGCAGCAGGGCCAATCCGCATGGGCCTGGTAGAGCAATACTGACCATTCATCTCAGTCATGGCTCGCAATTGCTCACCTTCATCACCAAACCTAACAAAACCATATCCCTTGGAGCGTCCAGTGGTCCTATCAGTGACAACTTTTGCACCCTTAACAGAGTGATAAGCAACTCTAAATGTCTCTTGAAGGAGGTAATCAGTCACATCAGCAGCCAAATCCCCTACAAAAACTGTAAAATCCGGACCATCGTCCTGTCGCCTCTCGCCAGCACCTAGGGTTGCCCAATTCAGTCGGAAATTCTGCTCTGTGTTGGGCATCAGTGTTCCATTGTATTGCTGCAAGATCTGCTCAGCCGCACTGCGAGACCTAAACTCGATAAAGCCATAACCTTCTGGCAAAGCTGTCTGCTTATTACGGATAACCTTTGCAGTCACAGCCTACAAACACCTCAAAAGCCACAATGAATACAACATAATGGGAAACACGGATCATACAAATAGTCCACACAAAAAGTACCAGAAATATAAATAAACAGCAAATCTCAATAAGCAGTTCTGTAGTTTTGGTTGAAACCTGGGCTCAGGCATCTAAAGTTAATTGTTTTATTGTAAATTTTGGTTTATAAAAAAACCCAGTTGATAAAGTCATTAAAAGTTATGTTCTTTGTTCTTCTTTCAGATCACATCTAGAAACAAGCCCTAAATTCCAAATTTGAAGTACAAAAACATTCATCCATATCCAAGCAGAACACAAAATTGAAAAGCAAATCACATAAAAGTCAAGCCCTAGATATACATGCACACATAAACGCACAAAGTACAGAAAATCACATAGGTGCTTGTGTAACTACCTCTCCGGTGGGACCAAAACAGCTGAGGATATAGTTCTCGTCCATCCACGGCAGCAAGTCACCGATCCAGAGCGAGCGGATCTCATCGGGGCCAGGATTCTGTGTGGTCGCGTACTGCTGCTGAGGTGCCTGCTGGGCCCACCCAGCCTGTGCCGGAGGGGCTTGGCCCTGCTGCTGCGGCGGCATCATCATCCACTGCTGCGGCGGCTGCTGCTGGTATTGCTGCTGCGGATCTGACGGAATCTGTTGTGGAACCACTCCTCCTGATGGCTGCTGCATCATGGTGAAGAAAGGCGGGTGTTTGGGTACGGGGATAAGGGTGTCCTCGTGGAGGAGGAAGAGGGATTGCGGCGTGGTTTGGGAACAGCGATAACCTTAATCCCGGATTGGGTCTGAGAGAAAGAGAGGATATTTTCGTGGTGGAAGGGGCTTATATAGGCGAGGGTTGTAGAGTGACACGTGGGGATGGAGGATAGGTTGGGTTGTCAATCTTGTGAAATTGTGATAGGGTGTCTGAATGATAGGCCGGGCCTATTTCAAAATGTGGGCTTGGGCCGGAGCCAACCCTTAATTTCCTTAAACCCTAATTTCTCCAAAACCCCACAAGGACATCAACCAGACTCTCTCTGTTTTTCAATGGAAGTAGCAATCTCAGCCTCCGAAGATCAAGGTACGCATCCAATGCATACAAAACTGAGGCTTTTGTTTTATTTTGGTACCCTTTCAGTTTTCTGTTTGTTTCGTTGCCTAGAAAGTGTCTGAATACAAAAGAGAGAACAAATTGGTTGCCTAGAAAGTAATTTGCTTTGTTATGTTTGTTTTTGAATTGCAGCTATGGTAGTTGAAAATTATGACGGTGAGGTTGGGAGAGTGGAGATGCCTAAACCTACGCTTAAAGTGACCCATGAAGCTAAACTTAAAGAGCTTTTGCATAAGATTAATTCTGTCGAAATTAAATTATGCTCTGACGGTACAAAAGAATTCATTAAGTTGCTGAAAGGGGATTCTGGAGGTGAATTGCTCCATTATTATGTGAAGAATTCAGCCAAGTGCTTGGAGCTTCTGGGTGCTTGGAAGCTCCGGCGAGGGAAATCGGGAATATTTTGTATACTTAAATTAATTTCTGTTATTTTGAGTCATCCTGATGGAATATATAAACCAAATGATGTGGAGAGGATGGCTATAAGTAGGGCATTGGATAGGTTTGCTCGGTCGCTTATTGAAGAGCAGTTGCAAGATGTGTATAAGGAGTTGAATAGTAAAGAAGCGAAACGCCAGAAGGCGGCACTTCTGCTTTTGGGTTCGATTGTGAGGCGTGGGTCTGGTTTGGCTTCCGAGGTTGCAAAGAATTTTGATTTCAAACTCCAGGGGTTTTCCAAGATGGGTGAGTACAAAAAGAAGCAGAACGAGAGAAGAATGAAGCTGTCATTGAGAAAGGCGTTTGTGGGGTTTGCAGTGTCGTTTCTGGAGGTGGGAACACCAGGATTGCTGAGGTCGGTTATACGGCAGAAGGAAATGTACTCTGTTGTCCTTCGCGGGCTTGGGAATGATGATGATGAGACTGTTTTATATGTTTTGTCCACATTGAGGAACAGGATTCTTGTTGAAGAGTCATCAGTTTCCCCAAGTCTTCGAAGTGTTCTCTTTGGGAGTGTTACTTTGGAACAATTAGTCAACATTTGTGGAAGGGAGAATGGTGGCGCATCTGCAGAATTGGCATACAGTGTCTTAGTTATGGTTTGTACCGATCCTTGTAATGGCTTGATGTCAGATTTGAAGAGACACCTGAAGGGTAATTCTAAGCGACTTGTGGATGTAATGAAGAAGCTTAAAGCAACTGAGATTGGGTACCACAGGGATCTGCTTTTGGCTATTGTTAATGGGAGACCGCCTATTGCTGCAGCATATATGGTAGAGTTCCCCTACAACCTTGAGGACTGTGCATCGCCTACCTGGTCAGATTATTTGTACCTCTTCATCATATTGTTTAATACTCAATTTTAGCTGGTCCTCTATTCCTCTATATTTGCTTGGTGACTGAAGCATTTGCAGGTTTTCTGTTGTTACTCTGGCAGCAAACGTGGTTTCTTCAGTGGGAAGCGGGCATCCTTTTGGTTTCCATGATTTTCAGTCTCATGATCCAGCCTTGTTGGACAATGTGGACGTGCAGAGTATCATGAAATGCTTGTATCCCCGTTCATTCAGCCGGTCCACAATCAATAAGGGATTGCTTCACTCTGATTTTCTAGTGAAGCACGGAACTTTAAGGGTTCTTTTAGAGGCACTGAAGTTGCTGGACTCCTTCCTTGGTGTTTTAAACCAAAATGGGAAGTTATACGTTTCAGAGTCTTTCAAGCAAGATTTTCAAAATGAAGTCCGTACCTTGCTCCCTGATCCTCAAGTTTTGTTGACTCTACTTTCTTCTCTGAGTAATCACTCCAAAAATCAACAGTTAAGCTTAAAGAGGACAGCAGAGTTGGAGAAGTTACCCGAACACAGCCGCAGTAGTGTGAAAAAATTGAAAACAGATATAGAGAACAAGGACGCAGACATTATTATAGGTGGGCTAAATTTTGATCCAGATGTTGCTTTGCCCGAGATTAGTGAAAGAATTGTAGGTACGTCCACAGACGATGGATTGGACAATGAAAAGGATGCTACAAATGTTATGGCGGAAATTTGGGGTTTGGATCTTCACTCCACATCTCTAACGACACTGAAGAATGCAGAGATATACTTCCACTGTAGGCTGCTCGATGCTTTGAAAATTTATCTTGTAAGTTTAATTTTTCATAGTCTTATTTTCTCTTGGATCTTTTATTGAGGCCATATTGGGCATAAAAAATGCAGGGTTAGATACTTATGCCTGATATTTTTTTTATTTGGCCAAGGTACGGATCACTGTTGCTTTTTGGTAAAAAAATAAAAAATAAAAAATAAATAAAAAATGCTGATTTAGCATTTTGGATTTGCTGTGTGAGGGATGTGATTTTCTAGCACTATCAGGCCTTTAGGGAATACATCTATTGTGTTTTGATGCTTTCAAGTCAAGGCTTGCCTTAATCCCTCGAGGGAAAACGTTTCTCACGCATAATAGATCTAGTAACGTAGGTTGCATCCTTACTTCAAAGGATAACTCATTTGCCTCATGCTTTGGAACTTAGTATATGCCTGAATGTATGTATTTCTTCGTTTGGTAACAGTCTGAAAGCATATGCTCCTATGCAGTTGTTGCTTACAATGTTCTTTTAATTCTTTTTATTGCAGCGGATAATGCCCACTGTCTTGGAGGGATCTTTTGAGTTTTTTATGAATCTCCTAAGCAGTCCTTCAGCATCACAAACTGATCTGCAGCGCTCTATTTTGTCTTTGCTAGTAGAATTCGTTGGATGGTCTCCAAGTAGTAGAATTCCAATTAGGACTCCACCACTGATGTACAAACATCTTTTGGCATTCATGAACTTGCTAGTTTTTTCACAAATCAGTGACATAAAGGATCAATCATATCGTCTTGCGCAAGCGGCTATGTTAAGTACTGGTGCCTTTGACAGAAACCAACATGAAATTGCATCATGGTTCTTGTTTTTACCGGGTTTTGATAGAGAAAAATCTTCTGTTCAAGTCCTCAGCTTGGATGTATTACAGAGCTTGTGTCATGTTGTCAACTCATTCTTATGTGATGCCATTTCTACTACTGGGAATAATTTGTTCAAATACTGGGAGATTGTTAAGCGTTATACCCACCCTTTGGAAACAAATAAAGGTAACTGTTATTCATCTAATTTGTACAAGTTTAGCATTGGTACATCTTTATTTTCTTTTTTTGGTGGTGGCGGATTAATTGATACTTGCCAAGTTTGCTTGGTAGGCACTACGCATATCTGGCATGCTCGATTAAGATGTGGCATGGAAAATTTTAAATGATAAAACCTTTTACAGTTCTTTATGGGTAGGCCCATGCAATGAATGAGTGAATGAGTTGTGATGTTACAAATTTTCTCTTTTACAGGTCTTTACAGGTTTGATTTTTGACTTTTAAATGGATTAGATATAAAGTTAATTGATTAGAGGAGGCATGATCTTTTACACAAGTTTCATGTACTGTTGCGGGATAGTAAGGGAAAGAAGTATGTTAATGTCCTCATTTCTGATGAATTAGATTTATGGTAGTGGTGCTTGAGCATGTAAGTTGCATATGATGTGTTGAAGTAGACCTGAAAATGAGTTGCATTTTTGCAGGTTTGTGTTGTGTCATGTGAAAATTAGCCAAAACTGAGTGTGACCGTAAGTGAACTGGTGGAAAAATGCAAACACAAACACAATATAGAAAAATAATGGGTAACACGCACATGAAATACTAATGTTTAAACATTATACACCAAATGTTAAACTCATCTTAAAATAACAGTATTCTTGATGGGTTAAAACAGGTTTCTCAGGTTGACGCGAAACTTAGTGGGTGGCTAATGGATCCGCCTGTTGTCCAATACAACCCTTTAAGCTTCAGCTTTAACACTAAATTTTTCTTGCAGGTTCATGTGGTGTTAATGTGTTGTCCAATAACTTCTTCACCTTCTTACTTTTTCTATTGAATTGAGTGTGTAGTTTTAAATTCGTTTAAAATGCTTTTAATTGTGCTATATTCAGGAATAAATCTTGTTTTTTTAGATGAAAGTGGTCCTAATGTATCCTTTCCTTCAACTGTGTGAAAGGCTATTTCTTCATGCTGAATTTTCCTTTGTTTGTCTTGCAGAAGCGAAACCTCATTTCAGTCCTCTAAGCATATGTGTGCTGCAGAAGTGTCTAAGGTTGATCGATTCTGGATCTGGATCCTTTACAATGCATGAGAAGTCAATGGTATCAACGTATGTATGCAGCACACTGAAATATCTCTTGCAAACTCAGGTACACATCTTCTATTTTTTAGCTTAGAATTGAATGCTTTTTGAACACAATCTAATATGAAGATCAATTTTGATAGGTTGATGCAGTATTGTTGTCTTCTTTGATTTGTTCAGTCTTGGCTGAGAGGCTTGGTGACTGTTCTGTCATTGATGATTCTGGGGAGAACATCTGTGAGTGGAGGCCTTTAAACGATTTACTTCTCTTTTCGAAGAGTATATCTGATCAGAAAACTTGTGGTATTTTTTCTATTCGCAATAAGGCTATGCCTGCTAGTAGTTCTTTAGCAACTGCACTTGAGGAAGTTAAAAGATTTGAAAAGAGTAGGGATGATAGTGAAGTAGCTGGAATCACCAAAGCCTTTTCTTTCTCAATTCTCTGTACTATGTCTGATGGAATATTAAAATATTTTCCATCCGTTATGACCGTTTCACAATTTGTTCTGGGTGTTCCTGTCTCTCTCTTATCATCGAGATTCTTTCTTGAACAAACCCTTCTAGGCAGTGTTTCCAAGTTGTGGCCAGAA